TGTTATTATAAATATAATAAGTTTATTTTTACCATCGTTTAGATGACTAAACAACTTGTACCAAAATTATCAAATTTCAAATACACTCGCCATACCAACCAGGAAACTACTGACATAAAAGAGATAATAAATATTTTGCGTTGGATGGCTCCTGAAAAGATGCTAGATCCTAAAAATGTGAGATATAATTTCAAATGTGAAATATTTAGGTATTATTATTTTTTATTTATTTCTTTGATTCACTTGTTTTATTATTTTACTTTTCCTTTCTTTCTCAATTAATTTATCTTTCATTTTTCAACAAAAAGTTTTGGAATTCTACTTTGGGAATTATTGTTTCAAAAAAATTCCATATGAAGATTTAGACATGAACCAAATTAAAAATCCCGTTTTAAAAGGTGGTCAAGAAAAGATTACTATGCAATTCACTTCGCAAGAAATTCGAACGATTCAAAATAAGTTTTTTGAGATTATAATTGCTGGTAATATATTCAGTTTATTATTATTATGCATAGCTTTATATTGTCATTACTATGTTTATTATGCTTTATATTGTATTTGATTGAATAATTAAGATTTATTAATATTTTTTATTTATTTTACATTAAAGCTTGGCAACAGGATATTCTTATCTAATGTAAATTTTCTTAAAACTTCATAAATTGGCCGCGGACACTTCACCAGCATTAAATCCTCTTGGAACATTATTTATGAGAGAATCAATATCTATTGGAACATTAGCAACGGAACTTCCAGATTCATTCCAAAACTTTACTTTACCTACAATAGTACCTCTTGAAGAAGGTATTAAAGCTCATAAGAATAAAGATTATAAAAAAGCATGGTTATGTTTCAAGGAAAATGTTAAATTTAATAGCACAGAGGCTAATATTGGATGGGATATTATTTATCAGAAGGACTCCCAGACGGGAAAAAAGATCCTGTTCAAGCAAACCTACTTTTCAAAGAAGCAGCTGATGATGGAATTGCAGGTGCTCAACTACATTATGCATTTTCTTTATTTAACACATCAAGAGTTAAATTTGATCGCAAAGTTTTTGTTTCATACCTTACAAAGGCAGCAAATGGTGGTAATGTTGCAGCCCAATATAATTTAGATGATATGTATTTTAATGGAAAGATATTAGGTATAAAGGATGTCGAATTAGGAACAAAATATTTGAAATTAGCTGCTCTAAATAATGATCCTCGATCCGTTAAGATCCTTAAAGAAAATAAAATTGATTTTTTAATCTAGAATTATTTATTTTATATGAATAATAAGTATTTTATGTACTTTTTTATGAAACAAATGTTTTCATTAATTATGCAAAAATCATCGCAAAGTAAATCAAGTGATGCAAAGTTATGTAAATTTATTTAAAAACGATCTTGAGAGTGGTTTGCAGTTCATATCCACAGTAAATTATAATATTTGGCAATTTAACATTTTATTTATATTATTTGTTATTAATGGCTTTAAAAACTTTATTAAACTAATTTTTAGATATTAACTTATCAATTATCCGAGGACATAAACGAATCAGATTCCAAAAGAATTAAAAAGTGCCCAATCACTATTGTAAAATCGATGGGCAAGTTTCTTATCATCTAATAGAAGAATCTTCAATGTTCTAAACAGTTGTAAATTTTAAAACTTTAATATAATATTTTAGTTGCAATTCAAGATTATAATATCTATGCATAGATAAAGGTAATCCAAATGTAAGATCTACTATAGAAAAGATCGTAATTCTCTTGAAAATATTCAATTAGAAAATGATTTTACTAATCATTTCTGTGGAAACAATGTTTTCATCAGTATTTTAATTGACTAGAAATATTAAAGATTCTATATCAATTACATTAAATGTTAAACATCATTAATTTTGTCAAAGCGAAAAGCGAAGGTTTTTTATTGATGTGACACTAAGATTTTGCCGTTCATGAAAAATATGCTAGTATTTCAAACCCAGAATCAGGTAAAAGTGTTTTAGGTTTGATTGGAATTGTTATATTCTTTTATACTGTACCCATTATTATTTCAGAAATAAATACTATATATGAAACATGCTAAATGTAACAAAACATTTGCAATTCTTTTATGGATCGTGTAGATACAGCAGAAACAGAAATTAGAAATTTAAAAGGAGAAAAAAAGAAAATGAAAAAATTTCTTGGGCTTTCCATCGTTTTTTTGAAGTCATAAAAATAAACAGTTAATGGCTAATGAATCTAAACTTTCCGGACTTCAAAAGTATTTCCACACCAATTCAGTCAAGGAAAATTTGAATCGCTTATAAATGCGTTTGAATCCGTTATGAATGATTTATATTTTACGTTCTTTACGTGAACATAGAAGGAAAGTCTTAGTTCGAATCTTGAAGAAATGACAAAGGTAAATTATATTGTAAACGAATTAAAGTTTAACCAAACATCAATTGGGAAGTCCCAAACCTAATGCTCCCAATAACTGCAGCTAAGACGAACTAAACCACAATTATTTTAACATATTATAAATTAACATAAACACATCAAGAACGTAATAAAATAAAAAAATTAATTTGATTATATATTTATATTTCTATTTTTATATTGAAACATGCTTTAACTTCAAATAATTGATATAAATTTACATAAAATCCAGAGGCATCGTAAATTCAATTCGATGGGAATCTTTTTTTTTTTTTTTTTTTAAAAAAAAAAAAAAAGATTACGTTTTAATTTGTATTAGATTTTAATATATCCGATTACAAATAAAATACCTGGAAGCTGATTAACTGGTTCTGGAAGACCATTGTATTTCAATAACCGACTTTTGTAAACTACATCTTTATGAATCCCAACTTTTGCTGATTGGGTACCTTCCGCTAAGAGTTTGCGTCTTAGTTCATCAGAATTTCGA